ATCGAAACCATCATTTGTTGCCGGTGTCTGCCGGCCATGGCAGTTTCTTGTCGGATGAAAAGTTCATTCCACAGATGTCATTAACCTGCAAGTAGTACACCGGGTAGAAATTATCATTTCGTTTAGGTAGTGAATAATTTGACTGGTTGCAAGCATTTCTTGGAAACCGTATTGCAGTTCGCTTAGCTCAAGGAAATCTTTAAACGAAAAAAAAATTGCAAATAGCTAGTATGTTCTGGAGTTGCACTTATAGATTGATTTCCCTATGTCAAAGCTAACTATTATTTAAAAGCCCAAATTCAGTGTTGACCGGCTTTAACTGAATGGGAATATCCAGCAATGCGCATCTCAGCCGCACACATTTGGAGAGTGTGGGAACACATTGTTATTCGTCCACAGTTGATAAATCGGTGGTTTATTTTACTCAAGTTTAAACGCAGTTTGGGGGCTATTTTCACTCCAATTTGTTTCGTCTGGTTTGCCTGGCACTCTTTAACTTTAGTATAGCCCCACTGAGACATTTTGATTGGCGCAAATCACATAAACGACACTTTTCCAATTTTGGGCATACGTTAAATCTACTGGGCTGAATAAACAGATAAAAGTTCACAAAGTTATAGCTGGATGTAAAATATTATTTTAATTACCGGAAGCGTGTACACCCCACTAGCCACAAGGGCCTTCTTTTGAGAGATTGTCGCTCTAGAAGCCACTCAGAAGCCAGTCCGGTAAACTGAATCTATACGGTTGAAGAATCAATGGTCCTATATTCTGCCACACATTACTTTTGGGAACAAAACTAATTGTAACAGAAATGACACTCACATTACGACAACTTACGAGCATTCGAAGTGTGTTTTGTAGTTACTCTCATGAAGGTAAAAACTTTGTTCAAAACTAAGCTTTCAAGATAGCTTGGTCTTATTGCGCGCAGTAGTTCTAAAATTGTGCTCTTATTGAGCACATGTTTTACTTTCTTTAGTAAGGTATCCTAATTATTTGAAGGTTACAACTAAGAATTTTTCCCATGCTGGGTTTTTGTTCCATTTGTATAAATTTTCTGATACACATACCGATGGATTTATCTAATATTTGCCTGCCAGTCAGCTGTCTGCCTTAATTTATCATGCTTGTGCTCAACTGGGATAACGTTTATGTTTAGTGGCTTACTCTGTGAAAAATTGGGCAGCCTAGCGGGACTAGCTCTGGTGGGCGTAGTAACAGGCCACGGCCTCTCAGATAAGAGGAAGATACTAGTGGCTTTCTGTGTGCGACGAATTTTCGGTATACTCTACTTCCAATAATGATTTACATTAGAATTTAAAGACAAGGCAAGAAGATGGTTTGTGCTTTTTTGATAACTCTAGAAAAAACAAAGAAATATTCACACTTGAAAGTTTTTCTCCCTATGGAACCAAATTGTGTTCATCTCCAACATTATAAGACTCATAAGAGGCTTAGATAAGCAGACGCAGTGTATGTGGAGTGTCATCTGTTAAGATAATTCAGTCTACATGACTCGCAATTTTACCTGTTCCGAAATAGCCATTTTATCCATCGCTGCCGTTTAAAGGTAAAAACGCGTCTATGTTGCAAGCGAAAAATTTATTGGTAGTTCCTGTGCACTGATGGCAGTTGGTTTGTCATTGTAATAAAATGCTGTAAAACTGTAAAAAATCTAAACGCAACTACAATATTTCCTAATTAATATTTATTTGGTTACTCCCTGAACAACGTGATTTTCAACATCGTCCAAATAAACATAGCTGCATTGCTCATCAAGTCCAACTTGATCTTGGTCATTGATCCAAAGACTGTAGAATGACGAATTCGTTTCGGCTACCAACTTATTATACATAAATCACGTCGGAATCATAATGAAAAAACTATTTAGTGTCAAAAGGGGGTATATGATTAAGCCACGCCTGTATGTGCACATCGACCTCTGAAAAGTCTGCTTAAAAAAACAATGACATCATGGTAATCCCTATCACCAACAGAAGCAAGAACAATATATCATTAGCCGATTCATCGGCGCTCCATATTACCACAAAAAGCGAAAAAAGCAAAACTGAGGATAGCAGACCGAAAGTTATATTCCGAAAGAGAACAATAATCAATAACTTTGGCCACATTAGCGTGCAGCTCCAAAATGACGAAGGGTAACTGGAATTTGAAACATCGAAAAACGGAGCGGTGAAGTTATTGGATGCAACTTGAACCGCCGACTTTTTTTATCGGGCTAGTGCTATGTCTATTCCACGTTCTTTAAGAATCATTTGGTTATCCAAGCTGCACCCAAGCCTTGACAATTGTGAAATTTACGGAGTAGGCTCACAGTGACCCCGGTGTACTATTATGGCTGAACTATAAGGCTTCGCTTATACTTATCGAGGCTGTGAAATAAGTATACCTGGGTATTTGGTTGAGCTGGATAAAGTCCCATTCAGCTCAAGATTAGTGCATGAAAAAATCTGACCTAAGCTTCGCATCCATTCGGAAAATAAATCAAATACTCGCCAGTAGAAATGGTTGGCTGTTGTGTAGTATACGGCCACTGAAAGGAAGACCTGTAGACTAAATTAATTTGTCTTATCCTTAATTCTTAATACCGATTTTCTGATGACACTCAATCACGTACGATAGAGATGCAAAATTACATTACCTAATATTTTAAGTCTCGTGTGTTCCTCCACCATTGTACGAAGAAAAACGGGATTTCACAGGTATCATACTTAATTAAATTGCATATTTAGTCAAGTTCGGCAATTTAAAAAATATTTGGGAAACATCTCTGTCAAAGGTATTCGGAGCATGGAGACTCATTTTCCAGTGCTCGTTTTTCTGAAGAATCAAAAACTTTGTACAAGGGAATAAAAATTCTTGTAATGGACACTTTAGACACGTTAGTGCTTCTGAATATATTGGGACATTGGTTAGATTACTGGCCCCAGCACGAACAAACTTGGCTACGAGATAATTCTAGGCAAGCCACTACACGTCTTCGAATTTTAATGGCTAAAATACAAATAAAAATTACACTACTCGTGGCTTAATTAAAACTCTTGAACAGATGACTATCAATGTTACACTTTTACATTTATATCAGTATATATTTATGCTCTATACATATATGCCACATAAATCTGTACTGGTTCATACCTTATTAGACCACACTTTTGCACTTTTATGCACGAACCTCTTGACGCGTAGCAGTTCCCCTTTGTCGAGTCAAGCTAGAAAAAGTGCTTTGTGACCCATAGACAACCGTTTCTCAGTGTACGGACAAGATCCAACCTTATCTGCTCGGTTTAACATTATTGAGGCAATGAGAAATAGTTCAATTAAGTAGGATTTATTTATGGCAAAGACTTGCGCACCGCGTAGTGCGAGGAATATGGCAACACCTAAAATTATGGCTTGTCCTTCCCTCAAATCCCATTTGAGGACATTATAGTTCACCTCTTCTCTTAAAAAAATGAAACTAAAATAAGTATAAAGGCTAATCGAGTAGAATAATACCACTGAAGAGTTTTCATAGACTTCATTAACAAAAACAAACTTGTCGCTGCGATCCATGCGTTGCTTAGTTTAACAGGTTTAAACCTGTGAAATGACTACTGTAATTTGTTCAGTCTTATGCGTCTCCCAACACTGTACCTGAATTGCAGGTGCTATTCATCCACCCCCTTATTAAGCTTACTTCTAGAAGTATCACTGCCTAAAAAAACTGTTGTCATCTCTTAGTGGTTCAAGACATGCTAGTCGGGTTAGGTACGGTTATCTTGCGCTCTGTTCACCTATTCTGCGATGATAGAAACTTTTTCCTGCTTTAAAATGGTGTCTAAACGAAACATGGGTACGCCACTTCTCCTAGATTAGATTTCAAGCTGTTGAGGAAAGTTACTTATACGTTTATGTGTTTGATCTACAAAACCGTGACCTGTTGAAACCTATGATTATACAGCCTATTTTTAGAGCTTCAACACGGTCGATAAAAACTATAACAGGTTTACGTTTACCAAGATACAACTATAACAGTTTACGTTTACCAAGATACGATCTGTGTTTATCACCGTACGCATTATACTTCATTAGGATTCTTACCCGTGTGGCCCTAGTAACTCGCACTGAAGAGAATGTGATGATGTAGCTTACAAAACTTCAAAATTTCTGATTGGTTCTAGACGGCTTTTTGTGACCTCGGTAGCATTACTGTTATCCTTCGACTGGTTATTTATAATTAGGAAAGACTCTTGAGGAAGTAAAACCATCTTTTTTAACAGTTTGATATCTTAAATACCATGTGTACATAGCACACGGGAAAAACAAAAGTAACGCACCGAAAAAGGGAACATTTGACTCCTAAATGGGAATTGCAAATTTCATCAGCTTGGCTACTAAGGCAAACATCATAATAAATTCATGGCCTGGTGACTGATTAAGGATACCAGATGGTCGTGCACTAGGCATTTTGCTACTGTCCTTCGAGCTTGATGTACTGATGATCGTTGGTTATTTGCTGAGCGGAATGAGCGTACCAAAGACCATCTGTGCTTGCTAAGCTACCTACGTTCCACTTAGACAACTGTTCGTTCTTCATGAACCCAATTACGACTGTTTTGTTGATAATTTCCTCCAACTAGAGCAGTAAAACTTCTTGATTATACAATTCTCCACCTTTTAACGCGCTGTGCAGAAATCTACCGGGCTTGAAGGTTTTCAGTGGCTTGTTAGCCATCAGTCTAACTGTAGGAAGGATTTTTTGGGAAGCTACGTTTGTCAACGTTTGCGGAATCTGTAGTTAACAAAAAAGCGTACAGGAAGAAGTGTATTTACAAAAAACGGAACATATTTATGAAGAATTTATTTTAATCCTTAAACCGAATATACGTACAATTTTCAGATACTATGATGGCTGATGCTGCCCACTGTTATTTGACGAACCACATTAAATGCAAGAGCGATAAATACGATTTCCATCTATTTCGCGCACTTACCTCGTCAGAAACTTTGGTTTGAATGGGAACATTGTGAAATGTTGCTCAGTACACGTGATTGGTCATTCACACGCATGTATAGCACGGCTAGTTAAAGGCCAAGAAACGCCTTTTCTGTGGGAAAATTATTTCCAAAATGAATGCGAATGTGTGCATAACTGCACTGTCCGAAAAGTATAGCGGCCTAATTGTGCCATTAAAGGTCACTTAATGCTCCCGGGTACAATATGAAGGTCAATCTCCATTTTCGACCAATTCCGTGTGTATGGCATTGCAATTGGATTCCATTTGTTGGCACTGAGGAAGACGAAGTGATCGACCAATGAGATTGGAGCTCGCTTATTCCACCATTCACAATAAGGTTTTTAACAAGAGTAACTTACATTACTGGCTTGTTTGTTTCAAAGCAGATTATCAACTTTTGGGAACGGCCTTAGGTTCAATGTATGTGACAAGCAACAAAGTCCTAAAGAGCAGAAAATCGTCGTTCTTGCATTGCCAAATTTCAACCAGCTCCATGGAATTTGATTAAATGAAATGACTAGATAGCCGGTCAGTGTGGTCAGTTGAAGAGTGCTGGTACAAGTTATGAGTGCACTTTACTGATGCTTAAGTCTGAAAATCCATTTATAGAGCCGTTGATCAGGTACTCTTGTAACTTAACCTTGACGAAATATTCGAACTGGTCAAAGCCGACCAAATGCCAATCAAATGCGGCAAAAGTGAATGCTTCTCTCTGAGACAAATCACATGAACTTCTCACTTCTATAATGGATTTGGAGCTTTATGCAGGTTTTTGGAAAAGATTTTACGTCAGTCATGCGGAAACGCTTTCAAATTCACTAAAGTATAAATATCCTGGAACGAAAGCAAATCGGTAACTAAAACGACGGTGAAATTTCACCGCAAAATCCTCAGAATCGGATTAATCTAAACTGTTGGTGAATTAGTTCTTTAGCGTTCAGAAGTTTACACCTTCGCTGAAGAGTGATTTTGAAACTGCATGGAATACTCGGAAGAGAAGAGCACATTTCGACATCCCCGTTTTAATAGACTTTACATCTTATACATGAACTTTGTTTCTCAAAACCTATTCACACGAAGTTTAAGCCTGATTTCTAACCGTGGAGTTATTTTCTCAAATGTGCTCTTCCGAAAACGATGCTTTAGAAAGGCTGTCCCTACTAAGAATGTACTCGTTAGAAATGTCTAACTCATTAGCAGCACACTTAATGCACCAGTCACGAGGAGGTGTTTTTTCAAAAGCATGTTATCTGATTCAACATGTTACCTGATAAGATAAGGTAAAATATCTGTGCATTCGGTAGTTGCCAGATAACAAGGTACACCGAAATCTTAACTGGTTTACAGTGCCAGAAACATAAAAAGGGTGTAACCTGTCCCAGTTCTGGGTCATGAGTTAGCTAGTTTAAGTAAACTGTTGCCTGTGTGTATGCATCACATGAACGATCGTTATACTCTTTTGAGAGCATTTTAGACAGTTAAAACTCAGTAAAACCAGGAAGTCCTTATAATTGACAGGTTTTATACAGTCCGTGAGGAAAATTGGTCAGGTGAATAATCTAAATTTCTGAATGTGAAAAAACTGAAAATCTCGTAAAGCACTGTGCTGATTAGCCAGCTGATGCCCTCCCGCGAAAGGTATTGTAGAGATTTTTAGAAACGACCATGAACGTCTAAGGGAATTTCCTCCGCCATTTATTTGTGCCAGTTCAGGCCACGTCTGTTTTCTGTCTGAAGAAGTTACAGTTCTGAAAACTGAAATATCAGCACGAGTCTCGATCTTTCAGATTGAGAGTAGTTGCTTCCTAAACAGATGGTTGTGAAACACAGGCTACGTTCCGAAGACTATTGGTGCTAAATAGAGTTTCTTTTGAATTCAAAAGGAATGCGATAATTGAGTGATTCCTGTGACCCTGGAATAACAAACGTTACAATCAAGGCAAGGTCGCGACTGCTAGCAGAACTGTTATAATCACCGATTTCGGAACCAGCTGGGTACATGTTCGCTAATTTAAACTTTCAAAAGTATGTTGGTAGTATAAGGAGACTTGGGGGTTTTCGGGCTATTAGTTTTAAGAATGAACTGTTTAGCCGCGGGTGGTTGACCACTAATGAGATTAGTCCGCACTTATGTAAGATACAGCACCAGTTGTCCTCTGGTCAACACGTTTTCACTTGGTGACATGTTCCATTATCGACAGCTTTGTTATGTGAAGCAATCTTCCTTCTGGGCTACATCAAGAGTGTTGGTAGTCTGAATTCTTTTGTCGCTCCACAATGTGACTTAAAGCAATAAACAACTGCAAATCTGTACCAAAATTTTAATGGGCCAAAAACACGGTGTATGGCTGGTATAATATTCCAGCTGATTAACCTCAAATAAACTTATTCGCCGGACTTCTATAAGTGCTTCTTTTGTTTGGTTGTGTCACGACAGACTGAAGGATAACATTAGTCTTGGGAAGTATATTTAGTTTGCCTGTACCGAAGGACGAATTTCGGGGCAGTCAGTGGATTGTAACTTATTCAGTTTTCGGTCGAGCCTGAGAACAAACACAAAGTGAATTTGGTTGGGCTGAAATAGTAAAGGCATGTTTTATAACCAGGAGAAGGTGGTATGGATATTCCCCTGAAATTGTTTGGAATCGGCGGCCAAAGTAATGGCCCTGAACATAGAGTTGTCATTGGGATGGTTCGGTGTGTCGTCACGTAAAATATAACAAGGGGGCCATATTTATCTACTTAGGTGACCGATCCAAGTCTGAGCATGATCTTACCGCCGAGGAAAATATCCATGTAATCGCGACGGAGTGTGTGTATACATGTGGATCGCAAGAAATTCCGGTGCAAATCAAAAGCAACGCAAAAGTCCATAAACCCAATGCGAATGCAGTCATCTTTGCCACCCAGAGCTCACAAGATTTTTTGTGTAATGTTTTTCGTCAGTAAACCTACACTCATAGAATCAGAAGCGCTAGCATATAGGAAACCTTCGACGAAATCAATATGGTGTAATCGCAAAGAGCCGGATTTTATATGCGTTGCACTCTTAAACATTTGCACTTATGGAAGACGCAAGGCCTCTTACAGACACAATTCGAACGACATGAGAATCCAAAGGGGTTTGTGGCATAGGATAATAAAACAAAGCGACAAATAGTTAAGTTTGCTGGTCTTGGTCATAGATATATTTTTCAGGCCGTTGCATCCGTCGCAAGTGCAGATCTTAAGATTTTTCTGTTTGCATTCGCATAGATTTTCCATATACGTTTGAATTTACATCTTAAAAAATTCTGGCTTTACCGTTGTTACAGGGAAAATGTGAGGTTAATTGGTTTTCCAACATTCGCCAAATTACTCTTTCACGTCCTCTGGTCCTAGAGAATAACGCTCACCTTACGATGATCTATTAAAGACGTTCAATCTAGAAATCTTTACCTTCATGAGGGCAGACTGGCGATTTCTCACAGTGATATTTCCTCATAACGAAAGAGAACCCATAAGAACCTACGGGGAGGGAGATTTCGACTGCTCAGTGGTGTTTCGCTGGTTGGTGAAAACTAAAACTTGCTTCTAGATAGGTCTAAAAAACTTTTACCTTGCGGAGTGAGTGTAATGTTGGAAAACATTAAAAACTTTGGCAACTGTCGGCCGTAGACAGGTCAAACTACCTGGCTTTGTATTCCGCTTCGAATCGTCGCTTGTTGCCTTTCGATTAAAGCTTATGATATTCAGACAAAACATCATCGGTTATTTTAATCTCAGTACGTGGACATTCTTTGGGTGTACCTAACGTGTCGCCGCCATAGAGTAAAATTTATAAAAAATGATTCCCTTAGCCCATTTTGTCGGAACCCTCAGAAGACAAAATGTCCGCATTTTAAACCCCCGCACATATAACTACTTATAGATGGCGAGCTGTCCTTATGAAAAGATTGGCTGAGATCCGGTTGCAGAATAGTTAGTCAACTTAAACAGGTAGGTTTGTGAGCAATTGGGTGACCGTACTTTTATCAGCTCCATTTTACATAAACTAGTCACGATTTTCTAATTGAACAAGACTAAGTGAAAGCATTGTACAGCAAGTAGGTCAAGCATTTGTTCCAGCCATCACACGTAACCGAAACTTTCTCCGGTATAATAAAGAATGCAATGAACGAGTTGAAAGAGACGAGACCGATAAACGGGCAATGCCTGGTAGTCATCGTGGACAGATAGGATTGACGTAAACAATGCGAAAAATCTGCTTGACGACACCACTACTGTAGTCTGAAAATTGATAAGAACAAATAGCTTACAGAAGCACCAGCAAAATAAAAGTATTTAGGATCAACGAGTGTTTACAAAAGAAAAATACCAGCTATTTCCTGCTCCTTTGAATTCCATAAAATGTACTAAAGCCCAGTGGGCCACCTATGGAATGTCAGCAAGCAACCTTTCAAGCTGCTGTGGAAAAAGTTGGGACATTTGAATTCCAACACTCAGTAAACAGTTTAGATTAGCTATTCTTTATCGAAGTGAAAGATCAGCAAACCTTAGAAGGCGCAACCGTAAAATCGTTCTACGTGAACCCCAGTTCTTTCAACGAATCAGTGAGTTAACTACCTAGCCAAAAACTCCATACGGACCCTCAAGAAATAAAACATCTGTGGAATAATCAAATTCCGATAGTCAACTCATTTTTTATTTGGCGTACAATTTTACGAACAAATAAGCGGTGAATTAAGGAGATCATCAGTATCAGGACTTCTCACGGAGATTGCCATGTGAATGTACGAACAAGCTGCACTTCAAGATTAAAACAAAAATTTGTGGGGCCTTTACTTAGACGATACACTTGTTGCCATGAGGATTGAAATAATGTTGGAATTTTCGATGCAAGGAGAGAATGGTGGGAAACTTGCATTCGTGGACATACTCACTGCAGGATCGCCAAACGGGAATCTCTACGGCAAAGCGATTCACTGTGTTTATCCTGAAATAACCGAGTAAACACCAAAGCTACCATAAACAAAGCCATATTTGAGTGAATTGCAACTTGCTGCAGCACAACGGACGTCAAAGAGGAAACTCATCCATACAAGTTTTCAAAGCAACGGTTTTCCGATGGACTCTATTTAGGGGTAGATCATGAAGCTAAGCACGAACAACTCGACAACACTAAAAACACCGAACGGACTGAGATTTCAAACGCGAGAATGGTACGACAGAAAAACATAA